TGCATCTTTGTCGGCAATTTCGTACGGGTCTATTTTATGGACATCNCTTTTCAGCAATATCGTAATAGCCTGGTCCATGCCCACCCTTATTGTCATTATCGAGCTTAGAATTGTCATCTTCAGTGGCGTAAGCAAATGTAAAGAGAAATAGACACGCAATGAGAGCCAATTTAGTATTCATTTTCTTGCAATGATCCTTCTGTATAGTCAATGAAATAAAGATTAATCTTTAGTACTGGATAGACTGTAGTATTCGAATTGAAATTGAAATGATGAATATACGGCATCTTCGAATATAGTATAGATTGAATGATTAATACATATTATTGCGACTATAACCTTGATTTTTAAAAAACGCTTAATGTTAATACGTACTTCAACAACTTTTAATTTTCTAAATTAATTCTTGAGATAAATTCTGCGATCCTTCCTGAATTTCCAAAGTAAAGCAATAGACAATATTTTAAGGAAGCTTAGTGTTCGATTTCCAGTGGTTAAGATTTTGAGCTGCAAGATAGCTGTTTATATATCCTAGCTTTAACAAAAGGAACGTCTTACTTTTATAAATGATTGATAAATATTCGAGCGAAATTAAAATAAAGTCATAGTTCTAATCAATCTGAGAGTGTTTGCATTGTAATTTCCTCAGTATCGATATCTTTAATTTCGATAATTCAGGAAAATTTCAACTAAAAAACATCGTTTTTATTTGTTCACACGCTTATTATTATCTTCAATTTTATATGCTTTATTGTAAAAATAGTGCATTTTGGATAACGAAAAGGTAATAAAGAGGAAGGTAACAATTCTTTGTGTTTTAAATCAGGGAAATGAAAGTATTAACGATGGGTTGAAGTCACATAATAAATGGAGTATTAAGATAATATTTTCAATGGGTTGTTACAGATTAGTCTGATCTCAATAAAATTTCTCTTAAGATTGTTATTTAAAGTACTAAGATGGAATAATGACAGTTTTACATACATGATGCTGATTGTGAACATTTCTAATAGCATACGATTACCAGATGCCTTAGGCAACATGTAGTTCCATATCAATAAACAAAGAAAATTGACGTTGTTTACTTTATAAGAGCCTTGTGGACTGGGTAATTAGAATTTGAGTTGAAATCAATATAAATATTACATATATATTACTATACTGTATATAGAAACATATACACTAATCTTTATAATTCAAGTGTTGAGCTTGCTATCTATATTCCGAACAATTACATTCAGTATATCGTGATGATATCACAAGGAAAAAATAATCCTAATTCAAAACTTGTTTATTGAAGTTTCATTCATATATTTTTCATTTACTTTAGCCAAATTAATTAGTTATAGGATAGTCATCAATGATACCAAAGTCTGCCGCTATTGAAATTATTAAAGTCTGTTTAAATTATGACTAATAAGGTAACATGAATACTCAATAAACGATCTATTGAAATCAAATGAACGGCGGAAGGAGTTAGTTTGCTACATGAAAAATATGACTCTAACCCGGACTTACCTTTAAATTTTCCTTATGTTTATAGAATTCATTTTATCACCAGTGTTGATGCTCTTATCTAGGGTAATCGAAATATTATAATTTGGATAGTTGCACTGCGAAAGCTAATCTACCAATTCAGCTAGAATGTACACAGATAATCGGTAAAACTTATTCTTGATTATTTAAATATTAATTAATACAGTAGCTCGTTTTAATTAGGCTACGACATATAAGTACTTTAGTTCATTTGTTATAGCACAATTTAGTATAAGACAGAATAACTTCCGGTTCAAAAAGTTCAACAAAATATTCTAGCTAACCTTTATCATATACTGTAATTAATTAGACCTGTATTCATTCACCATTTTTAACGCCAAGACAGCGATAAGACTATATTTATTTGATTTGTTTAACACTAGCGATCTTATAAATGATTATTAAATAGCAGTAACTCTAAAATTATTGTAATTTCTATTCTTAGTAAAATTATGCCATTATCATTAAGCTAGATAACAGGAGATTACTTTCGACTCTTCACTTGCTTTCTTACTTTCTCCAATATTAAATGCCGACTCATTCTTAGTGAGTAAAATGCTATGACTTCTTTGTCTGGCCGTTAATGCAAATTTTACGTGCCGATTCTCATCATTATCCGTTAAAAAAATTTTTTGTCCAGTACAAATCGTAGAATAGCATTGGTGTAGCAAACTCCTAAAACTAAATTTGGTTTCCACGTATGTTTTATTATAATAATTATCATAGTGCTAAGTAAATGGAAACTCTTTTCCAAATAGAGCAATAGTTGCAATTTTCTTACCGACGAAATTCACTTTCCAATATCAGATCCTAAGTTAACTTAATAGCTGAATGAACACATTGCAATTTAACAGAGCTTTAATCGGCTGCATGAAACTCCGTATAATTAGACTTCTCTTGTTTATTCATCCACTAAGGATCCATCAAAATATTGCATTTAGAACTTTACTAAAGCCTAATCCTTGTAATAGTTATGAATGTTATTATTATAAATCTAAATTTGACGTGATTAGAAGAATTAAACATCGCAAAGAACTAAATATATAGAGTCTACGTTCAGGTATGTCCTCCCGACATCTACAGTACGACTCTAAATACGGACAATCTCTTATCATCAGAAGAAATAGTAACACAACTAGTTGCTCTTAGACACAACTGAACTCCAACTTTATTGAAAAATTCTGCCAATTTATAGTATATTTAGGTAAGTGATCTTAAGGAAACTATGTTGCAGCAAAGTACTGTAACTTTACGGAGTATCAGTGATGTAAACTGATAGAAAACCATCGCCAATAATTACAAGTACGTGTTACAGTTCAAAGAACTAGCTTATGATTGAGGTTGCAACATATGCTAAGCAAATTAATTGCTGTAAGTTTACAAAAAGTTTTAGTTCTTAATGTATATTTTGAAGATACTTTATAATAAAGACGGAAGCCGTTTTAGAACCTTGGAAATTAGGAATTTCGGATTGAAGAGTATCGCTCTTCTTAGGACTGCTGATAGTTTTGTTCGTATATCTATTGACGCCGTTATTATCGTGCAATATATTTACTAGTCACCTTTCAACTTTTTCCGGGGAAATTAGCCCAGCTTCTGTACGATAGACAACTTTTATAGTACTGATCATTCCATTGCTTTTACGAATTTTCATTAATAGATTAGCTAATCTCTATATCAATTATTAAGTAAAAACTACCTGTAATAGAGAACGATTACATTGTATTTCAAAGATATAATGATTAAAAGCAATAAACTACAATCTTATGCAAAGCTTTTTAGCCATTAAACCATTTACAGAATCTTATATCTTAGTCTACAAATTACCATCGTAAACATAAAATATCTACAATTATGCCTTCCGGGTAAAAAGTAAATATATCTTAACGTCATGTTAAACTATTTTACGTCCTGATTATTTTTTACCGATATAAATTACCATAACTAAGCTTACTGACTGGTCCGATTAGTTCATACAAACCTTAAATACAGAAAGCGGATGTTATAACTATCTGTAATGTTTAGTTTCCGTTTTGGGGATTATAGGTAATGGTACCCCCCACTATTAATGTGAACACTAAATCTAATATTAAAATTACAGCAGTGACTATTTCTAATTAGAAGTTGGATATGCCTCTGCCCGAGACAAAATTTATAAAGTATGTTTGACGAAAATTTTTCTTTACTTTCTATAATCAAATACAAGGAGATTTATGATTGCATTTTACTAAGCCACTAATGTTATCACTAGCATAGTAATAATGTTATTGCTAGCGACTGTAGTTTGTTGATTTTGATGATTATATGTCACTATTTTAACTAAAATGTTTGACGCAATTTCTTATTAGTTAAAGTAATACAGTACAATGCATGATATTCAATCGAATACTCCCAACTGCCATCAACTAAAATAATACGTAAATGGTCATTTCATAAAAACGAAAAGATGGTAACAAGACACGTCAAATTTACCCAATTCTACTTACAGATATATCTAATAAGCGAGAAAACAAGATTATTGATCTGCTTTCACATCAAATAATCAAGTGCAGACCACAACAAACACAATTGCGAGAAATATTTTATAATCATAGCTTTATTTAGTGAGTTCTGGATAACGCAGCTTGGCAGAGTACGTTAGCATCTACTATGACTAGCGGACCTTAATCTAAGCGATAGAATTCTTACCAACTGTAGTTTCAGGAAGATTGCTAATAATGTCAATCCTAATTAGCTTCTAGATCTTGGCCGGTAATGGAATAGGATTGTGTGGAAGAATTGCATTGCTGACTTTGCATTACTTTTGAAGCATTTGAACACTGAAGCATTTTGAACATGCTTTCACGTATTCTGCTACATCTTTCTGCATGTCCTTCTAGTAACATCGATGGGATATTTTATGAAGGGTTTTATCTCTGCCAAAGTGCTTACTTGCTCCTGGATTACATTCTAAAAAGAGTCTGTCTGGAATTTTACAGCTTTCAATCCAGCTATAATAATGTAATACACTAAATTATCTGCTTCAAATTTTCTGAGATATTAGCCTTGGGCAAGACTTGTCGAAAATATCATATAACGTAGTATAAGTTATAGTATAGTATAAAAACTGCATTAATAATGGTACAGGATATAGCATTAAAAGAGTGAGTCTGAAATTTTACAGCCTTCAATCCTGTACAGTTATAATAATGCAATGCGCTAAATTATTCGCTTCAAATTGTCCGAGATTATAGGCCTGAGGCAAGGCATATCAGAAATACGACATAAGTTACTATAGTAATATTGAACATAGTTCCATTGATAGGCAATAGAACCGGATTTAATATTGGAACTTTTTTAACTAATAATTGACTGCCAGACTTTATAAGCATACAAACATCAGATACTGCATTTCACTCATGGGCTTATAGATTAGTAGATTCATATCAACAATAGAACAGCTATGGCACTCTAATACTAGCCATCTATTTTATAGAAGATGCGACTTTTTCTAGTTCTTCAATATTAGCATCTTGATCCTGTTGTTCGACTTCATATACACTCATATACACTTGTGAGGTTGATAGATCAAGAATCTTCAAACCTTTCGAAAATTAAGGTTTATTGAAAAAAACCTTGTTTGCAAAGATACAACGTAATCGATCAGCTGAGGATCACTAACGAGAAAGAAGTATTTTATTGTACTAAACTACTCGCTTATATACTTTTCCGCCTTAACAATCTTAGCACCTTACTTACTACACACTTCATTATTAGCATCTTAAATACAGAATCATTTACACCTTTCATGTGAAGCTCTACTGTGAGCACTGTAGTAGTTCTCTTCAAAACGATACAGTTACTAAGCTAGCTATATTCGTACTAAGCTAGCTATATTCGTATTTAATACTTAAGCCTCTAACGAAATATCTATTACACGTTGTATGAAAATAGTTTCAATAATTCTAGTTTGAATATTTATAACCCCCAAACACTACAGCTACAAATCACTCTACCATTCCCTCACTTCTACATACGGGACATGCAATGGAATCTTCAACACTCTCAACTCATCATCAGGAGTAGAAAGGATTACTGCTTAGCAAATTCAATGAAAAAGGAATAATACTTGCGTGAAATGTAAAGCTAATCTTGTATCTTGTACCCAGTGCAATTTAACGAGAGTGTCAATAAACTAAGTTAATATTGCTTCCATAATCAATGAAGATGATGGATGTGTATACTGTACAGATGGATAAAGTATACCCCCAATGTCAATAAAACCAATACCCAAAAATAAATAAAGCAAAGCATAATTAAAAGTAGTCTATGTCTAGTCTATGGTCAATGCTATTGCTGAGTTAGTTTAATGTATGTTCAATTGTCAGTTGCGCTTAAGGAAAATGGTTGTTCTGGATGAAGACTATAGAGAATCGGAGATTGGAATGGACTTAATAAAGAAAGTTATTTAGATAGGATGATGAGGTGTAAAATGAGACTAATGTGTCTTTTTTTATCTCATTGTATGGTAAGCATTATCTTCTACTAGTCTATTTCGTGCGATTCAACACCTTTAATGATGTTATTGCATTTGTAGCTCGCTATAGTTGGCTACATAACTTGTCCTGGTTATCTATCATGTTTGTTGGATTAAATTTTACTGAAGCAAAAGATTGACTTGTTATCGCAAGTATTCCCAGACGAGAAATGACTGATTATCATGATATGATGATCAAAAGTGAACAACGATGGTATAGGAAAAGTAGAATATGGCGGACATGCCGTATGTTATGTAGTTAAGATATCCATCGACTGGTGTAACCTATCGTTGTCACTTGCAAGATTTTCTACCGTATGGTGACTATTCAAGAAATGGCACAACACAGTAGTCCTATTCTATTCCTCGAGCATTGGATGAAAGGTTAACTAACAGCAGTTATGCTATTACTTACCAAATTTTTCAGCTCTGATTTGCTGTAGTAAGCTATCATCATTCAGGTATGCTTTATTATCATCGATTAAATGCTTCATACAAGTGGTAATGAAAACATCATTCTTCTTGAGTGCCACAGCAGTGCAACTACCAATATCATGTTGAGTAACTGGTGTTTCATAAAATAGGACGTTGTAACCTTTTCCAGCAACAAAATGATTTGTTGTAGATGTGATGACAGTGACTGAATGGCCTCTCTTATGTAATTCTTCACCGATGGCAGCTAAAACTTGAGTATGGCTATGATAAAATGAAGCACCTATGGCAATTTTAGCTGCTGATGAAAGCTGAACACAAGCTATTGCATTCATTACCAACCACAAGCCGACTACCATGATGGTTTTCATCGTGCCAATGGAAGCAAGACTAAGCAAGACTGTATATTTTCAATACTCAATGGTGAGGGGGAAAAAAAATTGGAATTTTTTTCAATCACCACCTATTCTTAATAACAGCGTCGATCAATCGATTCAATACCAGTAAGAAGGATCAATTCTTAACCGAGCTGTTTTGATATCATGGTGGATAAGAGAAGACAGACTGCAATTGAATTTGAAGGTGTTAGCGCGATGGATGATTTTCAATAAAGTTTTCTCTCCACTTAGCGATGGAAGCAAAGAAGACGATGACGATGATGAAGAATGGCTTGGATTATTCTCAGTACATTAGCACAAGTTGACACACACTATGCTCTCTCGATGGCTATTAGCATTAGCCATAGTGCATGTAGAAACATCATTTCAGTCGTGCTATGCAGCTCAATTTCTGTTAGTTTCCCAGTTCTATCACAGCCATGCTCAAGCGATGGCTACTATCGGTGATGAATTACACCAAAGAGGTCATCATGTCGTTGTTGTAGCGGCTTCTGCTCTCCAATTTTTAAATCATAAGCCATATACCGTCAAGTACTATCAGACATCGATGAAGGAGAAAGACATGGAAGATTGCTTAACCATAGTCTTGAAACATCAAGATTACACTATGTCTCCTTGTGTTAAATTGATTCAAGAAGATCTACAAGCATTTACCAATGATAACCAACTATTGCAAGAGTTAAAAAGTCAACATTTCGGTAAGGGCGGATTGTTTTGTTATTGTTTTGAATTTTGATCTTCAAGAAACATGTTCTGTTTGCTTAAAGGTAGTATATTATTGTCAATAAGCTACTGCTATAGTCTAGTTACACCAATTGTACTCTACTCATAAGGCTATGGTAATAAGGGAAGGCCTTGATCAGCTTACATTGCTCGGAATCTGCAACTTGAAAATGCTCTTGCAGATCATCTGGTTAAATGATTGGAAATCCAACGGCCTCTGATCGATCAATATATTAGTCCAGTATCACCACTGGCTGTATTTCACAAAACTAATCAGTACATAAAACTGAATTTACAGTTACAACTATCATTCAGAATCACAATAAAATAGACTATTACCTCTAACTTGGTTAATATTCCAAATCAAACGGCCTCTGATCGATCAATATATTAGTCCAATATCACCACTGGCTTTATTTCATAAACTAATCAGATATAAAACTTAATTTACAGTTGCAAGTATCGTTCAGAATCACAATAAAATAGACGATTATCTTTAACTTGATTAATATTCCAAATCAAA